AAAAAAAAAAAAAAAACTAATAAAGCAGGTTTAGGGAAGACAAAAGCGAAGAATGATAAAAACTCGGTCGTTTAAGAATTGAAAAAAAAAAACGTTTAGGCTCAAAACAAGACGTTTTGTCCGAACTTCGAGCTTAGGCGGTGCCTAGGTGGACTTTTTAGAACACTGATTTTACATACTCGTTTTCAACCATACATTCACACAATAAAATATTTTGCACGTAAATCCAAATTTTTTTTTTTACTTTTTAACCATACATTCTTCAAAAAATTGAAATTCAAAACAACATTTTCTCACAATTTCTCATTATAATAGCAATCAAATATGGGCTAAATGTGATTCGATAAATTTTCGACGACTGTTGTGCGATGATTGCAAGTGTATGATGTCAATGAAATAAGTAATAAAGTGAATTAAAGAGTCCGAAGACTATCTATTTAATAATTAACCTAACTATTCCTAACTCCTATTTGAGTAATGATAAAGTTGATGGCGAGATTTTATTAAACTAATATTAACTAAGGAAATCAAAAGCAATTAAATGATCAAATATCGTAAAAGTGCTGCAATGCACAATTTCATCGTCGCTACCCCCTTCAAATTCAATCTTAAAGTCATACTCAGTTGAATTTATTAATTAAATTAATTTACCTCTTTCGAGTTCAAATCAATTATATTTAGCGGAGTCAACTTACTATATTTCTACGTAAACCAGAATAAGCATAAACTAAATACATTAAATTATTTAAGAATTCAATTAAAGATCTCAACAATAATAAAAAATTATCTCTACATTTTATCAAATTGTTGAATTTTATTACGTGATTTAAATGTATTACTCAGCTCTCGATTTGTAACAATTCACAAAGTGTGAATTAGTGATCAAGCAATTCAAGTGTTAAAAATATAAATAAAATTAATGCATAAAACAATTAACTTCGTAAATCTTGTGAATTGAAATGAAATGTTGAAAACTAGGTTATACCATTTGTCCAAACTTTTGATTTAGTTACACATCATGGGGAAGAAAAACATAAAAGGGTTTCGGAGTAAATAATCATGTTTTAAAGAAAAATGAGAAAAATATAGTTTTTGCACCAAGAATCCACATTCTTAATTTACACCATGTTCTTGAATTTTTAGGGTGCATTTTATTTGCTATTTTCAGGCTGATTTCAATTTTGCAAAATACTGAAAACATGTTTGGTTTAATATTTTTGAAAATGCATTTTTGAAAACAAGGATGAACTTATGACATAAAACTCGAAACACATTTTTTTCCGTTTTGAGTGTTTACGGTGAAAATTATGAAAATAATTCAAAGCATGGAAAACAAGTGTTTTAACATATAAAATTTTAAATTTTAAAAAAATAATAAAAATCAATAAAATAAATTCTAAAATTAAATATTAAAAAATAAAAATTATAAATACAAAATTTAAAATAAAAATAGTTCAAGCTCTTAAATATTATTTACATAAAAATTCTAAAATATATATTTAATTGAACACGGATAAAAATATTCTCAATCCACATTACTAATTTTCGTTTTTGTTTCCGATGTTTTGAACTCAATTTAATATTAATTAATATTTACTTTTGTAGCAAAAAAATAATGTAAGATTCATCAATTTTAAAATGTATATATTACATGATAATATATTAATATACATTTTTTTAATTAAATAACAAATTTGGTTGAATAAAATATCATAAAATATTTTCTCAAAATTTCAATCCTAACATATTTTCTAGTTTACTATTTTGATAAATAATTTTTTAAAATGACAAATCAAATAAATTTTTAACAATTTTAAAATAGACCGTCGAAATAGAAAACTAAAAATGAATTCAAATGTTAAAACTGAAAATTGAAGTACAAACTAAACGGACCCTTATTTTTTTATTTTTTTTTACTCTTCTCCATATTTCTCTTTTTCCTTTCTCTTGTATGTGTCCCATGGGTAGCCTTGTGTAAAAACTTTATTTGACATATTACAGTTTTCAAACCGCCTCGAAAGTCATGTCCTCAAAAAGATCAAAATAGCTCCAAATATTAACTTTTAAAACTCTTAGAAATCTTCGACCAAAATCTGCGGTCGAACCGCAACCCAAACAAGCCAAACTCAATGATCGCATATTGTATACCTTGGTTCGATCGCCACAAATTGCGGTCCTTCTAGACCGTGGTTGTTCTGCGGTCCTCCCCTACAAATTTAATTTTTTTATGCTTTGGCCCTACTTTAAGTTTTTTGTACATTTTTTGTTCTTTCTGGTTCAAATCTTCAATATTAATCCCAGAACTTTTCGAAGCATTCACATTGGTCCTAATCCTCTACAATCATCCAAAATTGGTCCTCCTCAAATTCCAAAAGTGTGCAATTTAATTATCAAACATTTATAGTTGAATATCATTTTCGAAACTTGTGACTTCCCTCTGATTGCTCTTAATGCTTCTTATTAATCCCGTGCAATTCGATTAGACTTTAATTGTTTCAAACCAACTCCAATAATTCATAAAAGGTTTCCAAGTCATGCTACAAAAATCATTTTTTTTACTTATTTGATGCTCGATCGATGTGTGTGCACAGTCAATCCAATCGTCGTAAACTTCTAGGTTGATTATATTTCAACCCTCATTGGTCAAAACATCTCAAGAAGTTTAATTTTAACCGCCTTCAATTTATTGACAATCACCAGCAATTCATGCTCTTGCGTCAACATTGGAATTTTATCCAAAATGTAATGTTAAAATACTTAGAGATTAAGAATTTGTGGTACCTTCTCGAATTTGTATTTGTTCTCATGTGCTTCCTAACTTTCCCTTGCCAACTATGTATTGGTATGTAGATCATATAATCGGTTGAAAAGTGCATTTTGAATGTGACCTTGACATATCTATTCATCTTCTTATAGTTTCTTTCGCTTGGCCTCCATTGCATCTGTATCCCTTGCACCCGGTTCTCGTATTGGAGCCAAATGAGGACCCAGTATTTAAATTATCTTCAAAGTTGTCAATAGAAACTTGATGTTGTCTTGTCACCAAAGTGAAGTTGGTTTAATCAACATGGTCGAGCTTTACCAAATCTTGATTAATCAATTTGACAGTAGTCATTCTAGCTCTCATTCTCCATTGGAAAAAAGATATTGCTTTAAATTGTGGGAAACAAATAAGAGATGAAGAGAAAACTAGAAACCCAAATGCCGAAAAAAATGAATCAAGATTTGAACACTTGAAAATGTTGTCGTAAAGCGATATTTGCTTCCTCTCGAATCTTGAGATTTCCTATGGAATGCACCGGCAAATAACATTGAGGATACAAGCCTTCAAAGAATAAGCTCCAAGAAACAAGAAACAAGTAAAAAATCCAAAACAACTTTAACAACACGATAAAATTCTGAATGTTTTGATGCTATGAAAGTTCTGAATTCATTAATATATGTTAATTCATGTTTAATTTCCATCTTACAACTTCAATTTATATAGAAGAAACGGGTTTTTGTTGAAGGGATACCACTATAGATGAAAAGTCTCAAAAATCATAAGCTTCGAACCAAATAATAGCCTGAAGAGTTGACTGAGGTCGTGGGTTCCTAGCCTCGACCGCCGCGGTGTGTCCTATCAAGATTGTAGGTTCGGAACTCAAGACCCTAGGTCTTGAATCTAAAAGACAATTTTGCCATGATCCCCCTTTTTTTTCATGACTTTCCCACCTTGGAAAGCATTCAAAAAATCCTAATTCACATTGTTACAATTAGAACAAATTACAACTAGCACTCTATTTGAAAAGAATAATGCTATTTATTATTATTATTATTATTATTATGGAATATCAGTGATGTGTCAATTTAATACTTCAATCCCGTCACATCACTGCGTGAACCTACAATATTAGGCCCTATTTCATTAGGGGCATTTTCCATAGAAAACGGAAAAAGTTTTCCATTTCCCAAAGATTTCCTTGTTTGATGTGCAAAAAGTAACCAAGAAAATATTTTTCACAAATTCATCCACGCGTCTGCTTTTCCTTGTTTTCAAGGAATTTGTTTTCTTTTGGTTTTCCACATTTTTTAGCAATTAAAAAAAATTCTAGACACAATGGTATACAAAATTATCACTTTTATTGACAATTTTCATATAAAACAAAGTCAAACGAGTGGTATTCGGTATGATAATTTTGTTTAATTTAAAAAAAAAATTGTTTTTTTTTTTTTCTAATTGGAACATATTCTAGATCCAATGGTAGAAAAAAATATCACTTTCATGAACAATTTTCATAAAAAATAAAGTCAAACGGATATCAAACTTTCAATATTTTACTTGTAAAAAATTATACCAATCAAACACAATTAATTACAATTTCCAGTAAAACAATTTTTATGCAATTCAATTCCCTGTAAAATATTTTCTTTCCACTCATTTTCCACATTTACAATCAAACGGACCCTTAGATATTTTCACTTGCAGAAGATCAAGTAAATGCACGAACATGAAATTATTTGAGGTAAAAAATAAAAAAATGAAACTATGAAAGAATGCAAACGAAATATTTTTCGTAGCACAGGTGGGGCCCACATCCATAAGAGAATCTGTATAACCTCTGGCAATGAACAGGTAAAATAGAATTATTCTGTGTGTTTGAGACATGTTATTTTGGAATAATGTATTTTGAAATAGTAGATTGATGGAGAATGTGTGGTTGAAAAAGAAGGAAAAATTATTGATGCGATATAAAATATTATTTTATTAAGAATGTGGAGTTGAAAATGAGGAGAAGAATGAAAATTTTAATTATAGCCAAACATGGGCTAAAAATACCATAATCACCACCAAACTGCCGGCGTGTTGCTTGAGCTGGCAATCCAAACATCTCTAAAATTCAGATTCAAAATTGGAATTGGAATCAGAATCGGAATTGAACTATTGAAGTGGGTAAATTCACTGTTGCATTTCCAGTTCAATGCGGGCAAACCAACACAGACCTCCTCGAGGAGGAATCTTCTCATGGTGGCGCCAGTGGTCCAAGAGAGAGTCAACAATCGCCGCCGTCATACTCGCCGTTCTCCTCCTCACCTTCACCCTCTCTATCATCTCCAACTCACGTACAACTACAGATACAGATACAATTTCAGAGTGGGTGCCCTTTACCCCTTCAAGCAAAGCTCAACAAAATGCCGCCTGTAGCTCTCTCTCTCTCTCTGTCTTGTTTTGCTTTTGTTGATCGTTAAGTATTTGCTATTTGTATTGACCGATATTTAATTTTATGTGGAATTGTTGCAGTTTGTTTGGATGGGAGTGTACCTGGGTATCATATGCAGGGGGGATTTGGATCTGGATCTGACAGTTGGCTTCTTCACATTGAGGTTTCCTGTTTACCACTTCTTTATTACTCTTAGACTGTGAATCTTTTTTGGCCCTTGCATGTGGTTTTTTGTATAGATGGGTTGATGGTTATGTAGTGTACATGATGATCGATGAGAATTGGTGTACTTATTGCCAATGCAGGACCACCAATCGTTAGTGCAATTATTTCTACCCCTATTATCAGTGGGGAGATATGTGTATTTGGTCAAGTTTGATTTTTTTCTTTATGATGATTGAAGTGCTTTCTTTATTTATGTTTAATGATACGTCCATAGAATTTAGATTATATGTACCATCAAATGTAAAACAACGTTCAACAATCTTGCATTGAACTACATGTTTAAGTTCCTACCCTATCTGTGTATTAGTTATGTAGCCAGTGATTATGTTCTGCAATTCTGCAAGTACTTGTGCAAGATTTTCTTTTCTAAGTGGTGATGGAAATGATTTATTTTAATTATATTTGTAGGGTGGAGGATGGTGCAATACCATATCATCATGTTCTTCTCGAAAGAGAACAGCATTAGGTTCGTCCAAATATATGGACCGTGAAGTACAATTTTTTGGACTTTTAAGCGACAACCCACTTCGAAATCCTGGTACATTATGCTATCTTTTTGCCCAGACTTACAGTTTAAGAAATTTCTTCTACACTGTATCCTGATTCTTAAATTTTTCTCTATGGCTTTTATGTGTTTCTGAACACTATACCACGCAAGGCTGTTACTCGAACTATGGTGTTTTGGTTATGCTTTTACGCTCTTTTTCCCCATCTAACTGGAAGTTCTGCAATTTTATACTAGTTTATATACATGCTAAACCACAGTAAAGATTAAGTGACCATGCATTCTGTGCATTTGTACTGCCACAAAATCCACGAGTTAAACATTAGGGTCTAATTTCTTTACATACTTGTGCTTGCTGAGGATTCATTCCTCTCAATGTCATATACAATTTGTTTGATGGAGATTTACTTTAATGTACTAATCATTTTTCATTCAGATTTTTTCAACTGGAACCGGGTAAAGATACGATATTGTGATGGAGCATCCTTTTCTGGGCACCCTGAGGGTGAGTTGAAAGTGAGTTCACAGCACATTTTACTGCCTTTTGAAAATTATGGAAAAGGTTATAAATCTTTCTAGCACGTCCATGAAATTAAAAGGAAATATGTGACGACTGTATATTATTAAGTAAAGTACACATGTATTATGCTCTTTTCTATACCCTTTTCTATACCAGAATGGAACAAAACTTTTCTTTCGAGGCCAGCTTATCTGGAACACACTTATGGACGAGCTCTTATCAATTGGAATGTCTACTGCTAGACAGGTACTTACTCTCACATTTCTCTTCACATTTTCTTTTTCTGTGGCTAAGGAGTCATTATCAACCAGAACTTAGTACTATGCTTGAAGTTTTATTCCTGTTGGACTAAAAATTATATGGCTTGTATATAAATTTGTTGTCAAAACTCAAAATTGTATGGTTGCTTGAGGCATGGATTCTTCTGGGTGAATAAACTTCTGTTGTGCATCATAGAGATGCCATTTCCAGATTTCTTAGTCGCTGTGGCACTAAACTGTGACTTGATATTACAGCTGCTCCCTAAGTGACCATTTCTCTCATTTTTCCTTCATATAGTCACCAAAAGAGATTGAATTTTTACTTGCTGGTTTGGCAGCCCTGCCAAGATGCTTCCATCAGTAAATTCATCTATGCCAATGGAGTCAAATTATATTCTTTTTCCCTGATAAGGTGTTCGGGATTATTGTTTTTTTTTAGTAAAGGGTCATGCCGCCTTCAAAGTACAAAATTTCAGGTTCTTACAGATGCATTGTATAACTTCACAGGCCCTTCTTACAGGATGCTCTGCAGGTGGTTTGGCCACTCTCATACACTGTGATGACTTTCGAGAGATTATGCCAAAAGATGCTAATGTCAAATGTCTAGCGGATGCAGGTTTTTTCCTCAATGAGTATGTGTTTTGCATTCTTTTATGCCTTTTATGATTCTGATAGTACTCATTTGTGCTGGGATCGCCACTTTTCAACTTTCCTCTGCCTCTACCAAGAGTTCTCTACTAAATTGTATATGAAGATGGCCTGCCTTTTCATGGGAAGGGAGGTTCGTCTCCAATAGGAGTTGCTAAATACAAGCTGATGTATTTCAAATTTCTCTTTGCTCCTGTCATATTTGTCTTTGAAGGCTTTTCCTTCTTTGCACAGTTTCCCTTCTAATGGTTTTATACTCTTTTCTGCTATATGAAAATAAAATCAGTAAGGTTGTGATTTCATGGCCTGCTTTATGTGTGTTATATGCGAGGTAGAGAACAAGGAGTTTATTTTGTGAGACTATGATCGGGCGAGGGCTTGTTTGTTTAATTTATAAGCAGAAAACTTTGAAACCCTCAAACTTTGACAAAGAATTAAAAGAACTTGTAGCTCAATTGAATAAAGTTATGTATCAAAAACTTCCTCTGGGCCACCTTTATTCCAAAAACCTAATTGACCGTTTAACTGTACTCTCTAGTTCATTTAGTTGTCATTTGTTATCTATTATTCCATCTCAACATAGGATATGCATGTTTCTCAGATTAACAACAGTAATTATGTCGATAATGTTGCCAAAGGATGTTTGAAGTATATCAGGTTTGATTTTCAGATCATTGTCCTTTAATATAGAGTAATAAATTTGCTTCCACGGTCAATTTCAGGAAGGATATTGCTGGGAATCACACCATAGAGTCCTTTTATCGCGATGTTGTGCATCTCCAGGTTGCGCTTAAAACTTTATAAGCTTTGGTTTTGTATTTGCATAGGCTATTTGTTGTCATTTTGTAATTCTTAGCACTTCCCTTTTCCAAGAATAATATTATAGAAGCAATTTTATGTTTGACTTAGATGGTGTTCATCTATTTTCTTAATTTCTTTTTGACCCTTCTTTTGTTAAGTGTCCTGATAGCCAAGTCAAACTTTTTTATTCCAGTCCCTGGCTGTTTCTCATAGAACGTTGCTAGAAATGTGATCCTGAAAGCAAATAATTCAAGGGGGTGAAGGAGAATTCATGCTGGCTGCTGCTGAACGTGTAGAGGGTGGTGAAGATGTAGTTTATATATTTATAAATTATAAAAGGGCAAGAGTTATGGATTATTTAGTTTCTGTTTATTTAGTATTCTTTGGTAGTACCAAGGAGTACAAGTAAAGCCTTGGAGAGTGAATATTTATACTTAAGTATATATGCCTAGGTTATATGCTGCTAAATGAATACATTTCATGTATGTAAATCTTTTACGACCTGAACATAGTATATTAGTAAAAATAATTTTACTAGCCCTTCATGCTCTTCCAATGAATTGCAATCAAATATGATACTTCTTGGCAAACTTACAAGATGTTTCTTATCATAATACAAAAAAATACATTTCAACTTTCCCACTTGCTTGTGGAGTTGAGTGTCAAACACTGTCAAACCTTGTCCGAGAAGTGTTAAAGATGTGTGAAATTTTTATTCTTATTTTTATTTTGGCCATGGTCAGGTCAGGGAAGTTAACGATGTGTGTCTAGGGATGTCAGCATTTGCCCCCCTGTGCAACATGGGCAGGTAGTATCCTTGAAAGCAGGAAAGCTTCTGATACTGCTATAAGACTACAGATCCAACTAAACTTTCTATTTGGACAGTTGATAAAAACCCCAAAAGTATATGTATCATATAAAGCTACATGCAATCAGATTAATAGGCCTATAAAACGAAGCACGTAACATGGTAACTTATATTTCATGTTTACATTTGTATTATAGTGTCTGAAATATCTCGTCTCAAGACCAAGGATATGCAGATACATGGTAAAATTTTGGATAAAACTGAACTCAACTTCCAGTACTACTTTTTTTTTTTTTTTTGACGGAGCACTAACTACTAATATGACTTTTAAATTTGGTATAATCTATTTCTAGTGACATTAGCTCAAATGGTTTATGGTTTAGGACAATATAAAGGTCATTGTGAAATCTCTTTTTGAGGCTTCACCAATATTTTAGTTTCTATGTTATTCAACATCAGAGCGCGACGATAATAATTTCTGTAGCAGTTGGTATATTTATTGGCTACAGAACTCCCTGTCATAAAAGTTTTGGGATTGTTGAAGAGCAAGTTCGAATCTTATCAGACAACATGTGACTGCTTTTTAGATTGTTGTTGGAGATGATTTTATAGCCAAATTTCTACGTTGAAATCCTCATGAAAACTGTGTAAAGATAATGATAACATACAAAAATGTATTTATATATTGTCAAATATACTCAATAAAAGACTCGATACCCCTCTTTGTGAGAGGTTATCTCATTAAATAGTACTAAAATAACAACTAAATATGGAAGCAATCAAATACAATATTAATTAATGGTAAAAACAATCTATCTATATCTAATACAATTATAATTATATAATCGTAATTTTTGACGATCTCCGGAATCTTATTCAATCTCATTGACATCCCCCCTCAAATTGATGCTGGCAAAAGTATCAATTTGCAATCATGAACTAGCGACTGTGGTATTACTTGTGCCCACTAAGAAGAAATTCAAATCAAAGCAACCAACTACGAAAATTAGTGACAACGAGATACCAAGAACAACAAATAATGCAGAAACAACAAAGAACTACTCCAAAGTCACTCCAAAGATACTACGAGAATTCACACTCCCCAAAAAAAATTTCCAAAAGAAATTCACGAAGTGTGCTGACACACACAGTGAATTCTATCTGTTGGGAGAACTTAGTCGAACGCATAATATCAATAGAGACATTAATTTTAATATCAATAGAGACATTAATGTCTGGAATATTAATAGAGACATTAATTTTAATATATCCACTATATCAGCCTTTATTTCATGGTCATAGGTATGAATATCAATTTTGTTTTGCATTATAGTTTCAGGTATGTCTTGCCTCTAGGCCAAACACATGAGGACATTGTATGTTCGATAGTTTCTACCCAAATTCCACTTCTAAAATCAATAGAACTCCTGAAATATTCTTTTTTCCAGCCACATTAGTTAAATGATTTATGACTTGGGGGTCAAATATAAAGCTTAATGTGAAATCTTCCTTTTTTTAGGCCTTCATTAGCCTTTTTAGTGTATGCAGTACATACTGAGCACATTAGAACAACCATGAACACTACTGCTATAACTATTTGTATTTTATCAGTAACCTGATTCTGGAAGTAGATATGATTTAGAAAGTTCATTTCCTCTGTTGTACAAAATAAGTAGCATATAGTATTGCAAAAAATTGATTTTTTGTAAAGAAAAAACTGCCCTGTTCTGAAATATTGTATTGATCCTGCCATGAATGCCTACTTTTTTTGAGTGACTTCTGCGAAGGTTGGGGAGCGGGGGGCGAATACTGTGTGAAAGTACTTTGATATGTTCGTCATTTTCCTTTTCCATTTGGTTGGACATATCTTGCAAGATCAAATGGTAATTACTTGTAGGGCCTTTATTTTTCTTGAATGTATAACCATCTGGGGAATGATTATTGATATTACATGCTCAACTATCATGGTTACAGGGTGTTTCAAGAAGTTTAAATAAGGATTGTGTTGCTAGATCAGAACCTTCTAAGGTGCATTTTTTGTTCTATAAATAAATCAGAAAATGTTTCTTCCCAATTCCCATGACATTAGGCACGGCATTGAGCTTTTCTTTTTTGTTGTTCAGTTAATCACCTAACTTGCATTTACTGTGCTGACAGTGTTTCTTTCCTCAAGAATTTATAAAAAGTATAAAGACCCCAGTTTTCCTTGTCAACCCAGCATATGATTTTTGGCAGGTAATTTCTCTTTTTTGTCCGTACTAAAATGTTTTTGTTTCTGACCTTATTTTTGAAGTATGCTTATAGTAGCGGATCTTTTGCTCTCTCTCTCTCTCTCTCTCTTTTTCCTTTTTTTTTTTTTCAGATAAGAAATATTTTGGTACCTGATGCATCAGATCCTCATGACAGCTGGCGTCAGTGCAGGCTAAACATATACAATTGTAATCCCAATCATCTTGAAGTGCTGCAAGGTACTGTAATGTAGCAGCATATCTACTTGTGTCTAACACTTGCTGACAGTATTTATCATGAGAGTAATATGGAAGAGGAACCTAAGTTATATAGTGGGCAAGAAAACAGGAGTGTTGTGTGCAAAGGAAAGAAAAAATGTTAAACTAACATCTATTTAAGAGCATTCTAGAGCAAGAGCTGGAACAGGAGAATGTGAGCTAATGCAGGAGAATTTGTGTGATTTAGAGTGTAGTCAAGGGAGAACTGAAGAGAATGTCTTTTAAAGCCACTATACTGACTTTATTAATGGAAATTAGGAGGAACCTAAGTTATATAGTGGGCAAGAAAACAGGAGTGTTGTGTGCAAAGGGAAAAAAAATGTTAAACTAACATCTATTTAAGAGTGTTCTAGAGCAAGAGCTGGAACAGGAGAATGAGCTAATGCAGGAGAATTTGTGTGATTTAGAGTGTAGTCAAGGGAGAACTGAAGAGAATGTCTTTTAAAGCCACTATCCTGACTTTATTAATGGAAATTAGGAGTTTCCTGAGTGCAGCTAGCTGATCACAAGTGTCATTATCAATTGAAATATAAGCCTTAAAGCAGATGGGAAGAATTTTTCAAAAAATTTGCATTTGTGCCTAGCTGATGTATTTTCATGCACAGGTTTCAGAAATTCATTGCTCAAGACACTCAGTGAATTTCAGCAAAATGAGGAAGCAGGGCTGTTTATAAATTCTTGTTTTGTTCATTGCCAGACATGGATGGCCGAGACATGGCATTCGCCCACTTCTCCCAGAATCAACAACAAAGTTAGTTATATTTTCTTTTTATTCCACTAGAGATCAGTTGAATTTTTTAATTTGAGATGATAATATTTATACAAGAATGCTATAAGATGTCCCTCTAGGAGTCAAAAGCAGAGCTGAGTACTTATCTAAGTTTTCAGCTTGAGCATGAGCTCTAACAATAAATATAAGAGCTCAAGTGTGTTTTGATCCAACTTGCTAATGCTTGAAGTCTGCTCGAGGTTGAAAATATAACTCTAGTTAGACACGAGCACACAATTTTTTTTTTCCATTTTGAATGCTCCCAGGTGGAGACAATAGACCAGGCCTGCCCAAGCCTAGATATAAAATTCTTATGTGAAAAACTTGTTTTCTATGATATAGGCCACACCAAAAATTACTATAGCCCATCCTAACTTTAAATTAGTCTACTCATGCTCCAGCCTAATTCCCAAATCCACATTTAGCCCATGCACTGATACCCATACCCCGTCAGCCCAACTTAGTAAATTCAATTTCTAATTTCAACCGCCCAAATTCAACCTAAATTTAATTTCTAATTTCATCCGCTTAAATTCCCAGCCCTTACTTTTGCAGTTTATTTGTTTATGTTAAGAGCCTTAAGGCTAAGATTATATGAATGATTATTGGAATAATTGGTCGTGGATGAACCTAAATTACTGCAAATAAGTTTTATGGATAGTAACTTGATGGGTGATTTTCTGAAAGAGATTATATTAATTTTTATTAACTGAAAAATGAAGAGAACCTTGCAAAATTACATGCAAATTTTGTTGAAAAATCTGTCTTAAAAGCCTTCTTTTGTAATAAATAGTCAATTTCAGACTTACTAAAGTAAGGATATGGGTAAGAAAACTAGTCGGGTAGAGCGAAGAATAAGTAGGGAGTGTGAAATAAGAAGCAACTGTATTGGGATTTGACAAGAAAAAGAAAAGGTTTGTCAATTTTGACTTTTTCAGCTGCCACACAGGTACTTTGCTTAAGAGTCTTGACGTTTTTCAATAGGTAATGTAGCATTAGACTTTTCTTAGTTATATATGACTTTATTCATATAATGACCTTTTCAGAAATTCAGCCCCTCCAAAAGTAAATTCGTGGCTCTGCCCATGAATGCCCCTACCCGAGAGGAAATGTTTATATTAAATCACTTCCATCTTATATGATCAAAACTTTTCGTTTAAAATAAAAGATTTGTAAGTTGATCTTATCATCAATAAATAAATGGAAAACTCATGAGCAGGCTCACTAGCCTATGAGCAGTCTCTCCAAGTCCAAGCTTGGCTTGACTGAGTGAGTACTTGAGGCAGCACAAGTTCAACAAAAAGCTCATTTAAGTACTTGAGCCGGGCTTAAGCCAAGTGCAAAATAATTCATGGGATAGCACAGTTTATTTGCATCCTGATTCGTCTTTTCTGCAGGTGAAAATGCACTTGTTTTTTGTCTGTGATTTCACTTTGTTATTATACGTCGACTGTTGCATACAGCTGTCCGAATTTATAAAATTAAGCACTATGTTAGAACTACACTAGTTATCGTCTCTTATGAAGCTCCTATTGTTACTGCAAAAGAATTGACTGTTAGTTCCTGCTTGTAAATCAGACAATTGCAGAATCCGTAGGTGATTGGTACTTCAACCGAAAAACAGCAAAGCATATTGATTGTCCCTTTCCCTGCAATCCTACTTGCTATAATTTGGATTTTGGCCGAGGGTGATACATTCAAGCTTGCTTTGGGCTCACTAAAATCATTCTTCTTCTCCTTCGACAATTGTCATATTGTCTTCTACACAATCCCAAGATTAAATTGAGGGTACGTGCAGTTAAGAACGATACCTGAGCTTGAAGAATATGGCAAGGTAATATCATTCTACTCGTTATAGAATGTATGCACAAGATTGAATCGTATTGCAAAATTCTTCTATCCTATGTCTATGCTCTTAGGTTTTCTTACTGCCAGTCTAAAGTATGGTAATTCGGTGTCCCTATCCAGTGTACTTGGCCAAATAATATCAATGTTGATCTCATGTTGTCTTTTAATGAGTTTGTATTGTATACTCCCTGATGAGTACTGTTACCCTTTGTGTAGGGCAATGTAGAATTTGTGTATAAACTTGAGCAGTTTCAATCACTCGTGATTGTCAAAATGTTAAAGATTTTATTATGGTGGGATGGATAGTATTAGTCTAAGAAAAAAAACATAAATCACTCATTGATCTTCTACATTCTAGGTCTTCCCGCCTTAGCCTTCCGCACCTTTTTTCCCAATGTTTTGGAGATCCATGCGATGTGGGGCCTTATCAATGTTATGCCTATGAGACCTCCGATCAAAGAACATAGTGCTTTAAATTAGTTTCTTTCCATCCCACTCTTTTTTCAATCGATCGCCAAATGTCGTCGGTGCTTATCGGGATGCCTCGTCTGTACATCTGGACATACTATTCACAAGAACTAAGGGTGCGGTTGATTGCAATGGTGGAAAATGGGTGGAAAGAAAATGTTTTACAGGGAAAAAATTTGTCTAGAAAATGTTTTTCAGGGAAAATGATTTCAAGTGTGTTTGATTGGTATAATTTTCCACCCTGAAAATTTTTAAATTTTCTATTCGTTTGGTTTTGTTTTATATGGAAATTGTTCATTAAAGTGATAATTTTTCCACAATTGGTTATAAAATTTGTTTCCATTGCCAAAAAGTAAAAAATGTTTCCTAAAAAATCTTTTTTTTAAATCAAAGTTTAGTGTTCGTTTGGCCTTCATTTGCATCAAAATTGTCCATGAAAGTGAATTTTTTTTTTTTACACTTGATTATGAAATTTGTTTTCATTGCCTAAAAAAAAAAAGNTTGTTTCCATTGCTTAAAAAAAAAAAACGAAAAAATAGACAGATTCCAGAATTTGTTTACCTTTTCCTTTCACGCATAGAAATAGGCGCGTGGAAGGAAAATAATGGTGATAAATTCCATGGCAAAAAGCTGCCATCAAACAACTCATTTGCAAGGAAAAGGAAACGACATTCCATTTTCCAAGGAAAAAGGGTGTTATCAAACACACCCTAAAGGTTAATAACAATGAAATGATGATGATGATCAACTTGAACATTTTTAAATTTAGGGATTAACTTACAAAACGAGCAATAAATTGGAGACTAGTAGAACAATTTCATAGGTCTTAACCTTGCGTGACAATTCTAAATCATCAAGCATACTTAGCCATTATAAAGAGTTTAAAATCATTAAACAAACGTTATGCTTAATATGGTATTACTATGATTTTAACTTTTTAAGTGATTTAGCTTTTGTTGCGCTGGAGAAGCACTTGCTCGACGAATGGTAAAACTTTATTCTAAAAATGTTGTATGTTTTAAAATTAACATCTTAACATTATTAATTGGATGATATAATTTGATATTCATTATTATTATTATAAAATTTATTTTTAGTTTTACAAAAAATATGTAACATTATCTATCATCAATGTTATTTTACAATGAGAAAAGTACTATCAAATAAATCTCAAAGTTTTTGTGGGCTAGCCCGCTAGTTGCACGAGCCCAAATAAGGGTCGGTCGTATGTGGGCTTTTGTGGCCCGTCTTTTTAAATCACTTGTATAATTAATTTTTTTATTTATAAATTAATGATCACTTAATTTTTAAAAAAACAACTTGCATAATTACTTTTATAATTTTTAATTTAATTTTGTAGTTCGTAAATTAACAATTGATTTTTCATATATTCAAGTAAAAAAAATCAAAAAGCTAGTGTGTCAGCTCAGGTAGACAAAGGCTCAAGCCAAAGTCAATGCCAAGACAACTGTTTTTGGAAACGAGCCAAGCCCAAGCTGGCTTTAGCCCAAAAGGCTTGATCCCTTTTTGAAGAGCCAATATCGAGTTCCGAGCTTGGGCTAGCGAGTTGGCTATGCTCTACGGGAAAATTTGACTAGACTAGGTGTTTAGTTTTAACTTTTTAAAAATCAGGTTTTGGCTTTTTTTAATCAAAAATCAGGTTTTATTATTTTTGATTAATAATAATGTTATAAAATAAAAATAATATATTATACCCACCCTACTACCTACCCCCACCAA